TTTAACTCGCTCATGTAGCTAATGTTGTCATACGCTCGGCAAAAGTGAGCAAACAAGCCGGAAACGATAAATTTTCATGAATGTTTTTTGCTGGGTCATGGATGATATAACACTGGATTGGTGTCTCTTGGAAATTAACATTGGGATCAGGCCTGCCATCTAGCGAGAGAATTATCGTAAGTTAGGAGCAAGCCGAGTGAACGCCATCTCTCAGCATTATGACACACGTGGGTGTGGTGTGTTAGTTGGCTTGAAGTGCATATTCCCACGAGTTGAGTTGGAGGTAATCTTACTTGACCTGAGACGACAACAAATGTCTTAAATGCTTGAAAGCCAAAAACGTCAAGCAGCCTTTAGGTAATAACGAAACTAAAATGCGTAAGACGGTGTGTATTGAAACGCCCAGTCTGATCGGCTTGTACGACCTTTTACAGCAGTTTGACAATATGTCATACATATTTGGTAGGCTTATTCCTTCTTCTCCGAATTTCGCCCGATTTTCTTCATCTTAGTTAATGTTACGGCACGTGCCACGTGCCAACTTAGGGGTGTCGAAATTGTTCCACATAAAGTAACTCCGCAATGGCTGGGCCCATTACAGTAAAACTTCGTCAATAGTTAGGCACCCAGTGGCCAATGCATTTCCATGTGGCACTATGGGGGTGCTACTGCACGTGAGCACGTGCGGGGTGCCGCTTCCATATCTCAAGAACGGCTGGGCGGATAACACTCAAACTTGGTACACAAATGTCACATCGATGCTCGCACTGCATTGGTCAGTGCTTACATTGGTGCAGAGTCATTAGGAAAACGATGAAATGAGATGCGTGGTGTTTATGCCTTTCTGTTCCAGCAGCTGATTGATCTGCAACAGGAGATCCCTGTTTGTGAAGGCTTCGTCTCCCTTTTCCATTCCTTGTTTAACCCTATTCCTGGCGGGCTCCGCCGGGACAAGAAACTGGCGGGGGGGGCCGATTCGGCCCCCCCTTCAGATCTCAAAAACTACACATCGCAGCGACAAACGGTAAACGGCATCGGATACGCACGGTCAAGATCTACAATTTTTACTAAGGTCATTTTCAGGTCAGGTCAAAGATGACGTCACAGGGGTCGAAAAAGTCAAAATGGCGGCGCTAGATATGGAGAGAGTTTTTCTCGAATAACTTTCGAATTAATCAAGATAGGAACAAACTAAGGGCATCATCGTGATCCTCTCGTCAATCCGCATCGAATGATATATATGTTGACCTCGAAAGGTCAAGGTAAAAGGTTGACCTCAGGTCACGTGACCTCGAGGTCATCATGTATATCATTCGATGCGTCTTGACGAGCTGAACACAATGAGACCATCCACGCGTCTGTATCTTGTTCCTGTACGGAGTTATTGGCCAAAAACCTTTGGTGACCTTTGATGACGTTACATGTATGTATGTATGTATGTATGTATTGGTCTAAAATCCGTCCACTGGGTGGCTTTTCGGGATTTGCGTCCTTACAGCAGTACAACATTAAACGAGACAAAACAATGCAAAGGTGATACAATACAATAGCAGATCAGGGAGACAAAACGACAAGATTCTAAAACACAGCTTAAAAATGTATACCGCTTAAAACAGAGACTGGCGCATAGCGCGTTTAAACTCTCGGATGGATCTCATTTCAGTTACTCCAACTGGCAGATCGTTCCAGGTGACAGCGGCTCGATACCTGAACATACGTTGGGTAGATGTCAGTCTGCACGGCGGCAGCTCGAGCTGGCCGGCCACTGTGGAGCGGGTGCAGCGGCTCGAGATCGCCGATCTCGCTACAAACATGGAACGGATGGTAGCAGGTCCAAGTTCTTGCACCAAAAGCTTATGCACTTTGATAGCGTCCCTTATCTCGACCAGCCGCTCCACCCGCTCCCACCCCAGAGCCTGGAGTGTCGGGCCGATCCTGTCCATCTTCCGTGCCCCTGTCACGATGCGGGCCGCAAAGTTGATGACCTTTTGGACTCGCGCAAGCTGAATTTTGTTGGCTCCACCCCAGACCGAAATGCAGTAAAAGATGAATGGAAAAACATGAATGTTAATCAGACTTCGTAAAATGTCATGAGAAAAATGATGCCGAAAACGGTAAAGAGAGATGAGGAGTGAGTTGCAATTTTTAACCACGTGACTGATGTGATCCTCCCAGGACAGAGTGGGGGGTCGAGCACGACACCCAATACTCGAATGGAGCTGGATGGTGTCAGTCGGACCTCGTCGATGGCCAGATGAAAACCCTCGGTCTTTTTAATGTTTTGACGAGATCCAATCAAAATGAATTTGGTTTTCTGGGGGTTCATTTTTAGCGAGTTAAAACGATACCAGTTTTGCAAAGTGGATATTGTCTTTTCGATGCGCATTTTAAGAGCTACTAGACTTTGAGGTTCGGGCTTCGCCCGGTCCAGCAAATGGGTGTCATCGGCGTAAATAATTGGGTCTACTCCAAATAGCACGGGAGATCATTACAGAAAAGACTGAACAGGATCGGCCCGACAATCGACCCCTGTGGGACGCCATGGGTGACAACAGTGGGAGAGTCACTACTGCCGCGAACCACGTGACTGCGGCCGCCCAGGTAGCTGGCGAACCACGAGGGGTCGATTCCATACCACCCCAGTTTGCACAGGAGGACACCGTGGTCAACGCTGTCGAATGCTTTGCTTAGGTCGGCGGCGACGATGGAAGATACGAAGCCGGAGTCGATGTTCTGGGAAAGCCAGTCGACAGCGTCAAGCACGGCGTCCTCAGTGGAGTGGCAGTGCCGGTAGGCATACTGTCGTTTGTACAGCACATTTCTCTCTGAGATGTAGGCCGAAAGCTGATTAAATACCACTCTCTCAGTAACTTTGGATAAATGTGACAGCAAGGTGATAGGCCGGAAGTTAGATGGGACACTAGGGTCGCCAGACTGTTTGTAAATAGGGACGACAGTACCCAGCCGCCAAGACTCTGGGAAACGACAAGTCACAAGTGATTTGTTTACAATTTTCAACAGATGAGGTGATATCACCGACATGCGACATGACCTCACAGCTGCCCAACAGCAAAACAGACCTCAAGGTAGTGAAGGTTGATCGTATATGAAGTCATGTATGGTATATGGGGCCATTCCGACCCGTTTTAGTGGTAAAAACAGGGAGTTGATTTTTCCCCCATTGACTTATAATGGGGAGGTCGCGAAACTGACCTGACCTTAGGTCACAGATATCAAAATTCCGAGATATACAAATTGCACATACTGGTACCCTAACTAAAGCCTGAAGAGAAGAAATTGATCGGTCAAAAACTCTAGCTCTGGCGTGACTGCAAACTTTTCTGCGGTAGGGTCACCAAACCGCCTCTGGTGACCTGACCTGAGGTCAGATCAACTCAAAATTTTCAGACATGTTGCGTAGAAGCCTTTTAGGAAAAGTCAGAAAATTTGAGCTTCCTAGCTCAACGCGTTTGGGAGAAATAACCAAAAAACCTCAGGGGGGGGGGGGGCTCCTGAGGCCCAGGAATAGGGTTAAAATAACATAACAATGTACGAAGAAGATCACACATCAAAGTTGTTTTAGGCGGCTATCTTGGACCAGGGCTGCGGAGTTGTAGTCAGAGCCAGCGGTTCTGTTCCGACTCGGAGTCGGTGGATTTTTAAAAGCTGTAGTCTGAGTATGAGTGGAACGTCACCGAAAAGTCATCGACTCCACAGACTTACCAGGGCTGCAGAGTCGGAGTCAGAGTCGGAGTCTGTGTGAATCGATAGTTCTGCCCGGAGGAGTCGGAGTCGATATTTGAATACCGGAATCGGAGTTGGAGCCAAAGTCACTGGAATTTCGTCGACTACGCAGCCCTGGTTGGGTCCTTTTTATAGAGCGTCTTGAATTACATATTGAGCGGCAATGACGCTAGCAATTCTGTTTAACTTTTTCATTATACTTATAGATAGTACTAACGTTCGTTTTGTTCTTTGATCCGGACAATTTGTTTGATTTAGGCCAAGTAAAGACTCATGTGAAAAATAGCGAAAACGACACGGGCTGGCGAAGTCCCAATAACTCCCTGTTTCACGATTTAATGTGGAAATAACATGGAACTGCTTATCTTATTACTGACCCTGCACATAAATCTATTAATTTCTTCGCCTTTACTGGCATATAAAGACATAACCTGTTGAAAAATTGCACAACAAGCCTGCTACTACACCACACTCCCGTGTGTCACAATGCTAATCATCGGCGTTCACTCGGCTTGCTCCTAACTTACGACAATTCTCCCGCTAGATGGCAGGCCTGAGCTCAATGTCGCCAAAAACTGCGAAGACACCAATCCATTATTATCTCATCCAAGGCTGGGTCAAAGTTGCCATACTAGCATACGACATTGGCCACTTGCATTTTTCAAGAAAAAATGTATGCAGTGTTGCAGCACACACGAGTTTGTCATTTTCTTGTTTCTCTATCTAGGCCCTGTTGCTTAACATTGTACATAAACAGATGACTGAATTATTGAGGCTTGACGAAGAAAGTGGGCCAAAGTTGCACGAAACTACGGTATCCTTTGACTCGATCTAAAATTCACCGAGGTATTTTCGTTTTTGTTTTTACGCTCATTCGAATACCAACCAACGCGCGTCTCTACATGGCCCCGGAGTCCTCTCAAAATTTTCATCTTTTGCCACCTCTACTGGAAAAGCGGAAGGGGGTTCGGCTCGGCGGAGGCTGTGCCCACTGGTGGAGGGAACGTTTTTAATAGACCTACTGTATAGCGCCTCAGAAATTGCTCATTTATATAGGGCTCCAACGGGGCTTCAAGACTCCACTCCAGATGAGGTCAGATAGAATGGCCGGACGCCCCTCCTGGTATTTATGGAGGACCTTGGGTGGGTATGTGCCGTGAGTGGGTCGGTCCAGTGAGCATGCTGCAGTCGGCGCTGACAATGGCTCTGCGCGGTCCGTCTGACCTGTCCCGCCCCGCCCCGCCCCGCCCCGGCAGGCGCAGAATGTGGACCTGTGCCTGGCACAGCTGAGGTCCCTCGGCGTCCCTGTCGACGACGTCCACAGCGACGACGTGGTGGACGGCAAGCTGAAGCCGATCCTGGGGCTGTTCTTCCAGCTGTCGCGCCACAAACAGCAGCAACAGCAGCAGCAGCAGCAGCAGCAGCAGCAGCAGCAGCAGCAGCAGCAGCAGCAGCAGCAGCAGCAGCAGCGGCAGCAGCAGCAGCAGCAGCAGCAGCAGCAGCAGCAGCAGCAGCAGCAGCAGCAGCGGCAGCAGCAGCAGCGGCAGCAGCGGCAGCGGAAGCCACGATCGGATGTCGGAGCACACAGCGCCAGCCCAAAGTGAGAAGGGTCGCTGCGTGACTGGGGACTGCTGTTAGGGCTTAGAAGGGGAGACAGGGCCGAGACATTTTTGTCTTGGCCCATGACATATTTTGACATCGTTCATCTGTAACTTAACAATACGAAGGCATTTATGAAAAAAAAAACGTTGAATTGCATAAACTCTCGCCCGTATGGGGGGAGGGGGGCAATGGACACGGGTTTTTCGCAAATAACTCGCGGAAAAGCGGCAAATCGCGACGAAAGTTCCAGTATCTTTGAGTTGATCAATTTTACACCTACCTTTAAAATTTCATGATCCTGACTAGAGTTGCAAAATTTCCCTACCGCACTACCGGCATGCCGGTAATTTTTCACTACCGCAGGTTTTTTCTTGGTATCTGGCATGTCTTGCCGGTAGCATGCCGGTATTTTTGATTTTGCACAAAAAAAAATTATCAGCATATGATTCAAACTTAACTTTGGACACTAAGAGGCTATTGAATTGTAATAACAGCAATCTTAGCCACTGCAAAATACATTTTGTGGTAGAAGTTCCATTGCTAAGGGTAGGGGTGACACACGAACCTCAGCATTTCACAGGTTTGGCTCTAATTAGAATTGTCAAGAATCTTCTGTGGTCTATCAAAGGAAGACAAAGAATACTCATTCATGTTGCAAAAGCACAACCAATTAGTAAGTCTGATGGTAGGTAATAGGCATAATACAATAACTAAAATAAATAAATGTTCATGGCAACATTCCCTAGGCAAAAGGCAGAATCAAAACAACACAAAACACATTGTTTGGAAACTGGCCTTGAGTCCTGGGATGTGGTCTGAGATACTCTACAAAGAGTTTGACACTGAAAATCCAGCTGAAAAGGCAGGTGTTAGTTAAAGTTAGGCCCTGAGCCTAACTTTGGTCCCAAAATGAAATGAAAATGAATTAAACTGGCATTTTGTCTTATCTTTACAAGAAAACACAACATGCAGACCAAATGAATACAAAGTGGCGCAATGTGGCGCAAAGGCAACCAAGGATTGACTTTTAAGATCATCTGTCCCCTAATGAAAGGATGTAAGCTGATGACGTAATATTTATTCATATGCCCTTTTGGTTGAATCACTCAAGAGAAATCAATTTTCTTGTAGTGAATAACACTCACAGTGTTGATTTCATTGGAATTCAATATCGTGTTGGATGATTTTTATGAATAAAATCATTCACGAGGCAGAAGTTTGCAGTCCTAAAACCTTTTTTTTTGCAGTGTTTTAATCAGCTGGTTAAAAACTGTATGGCGCATCTGTTTCGAAATCCTTTATAACCATGTGTTTGTTCCCGCGTTTGAGATGGGGGAGGATAGGTATTATATCGTTTTTATTTATACATATTATTTGGTGACTTCTCAGGACAAGTGAGTTATTAACACATATTTTTACATGATTCGTATCTTACTCACCAGCCAGCAAGCCATGGCGGATAGGATGATCTTGGCGGATAGGAAAAAGCTGATGTTGATCTCGCTTCCTCAGTTCATGAGTCCATGAGTTAGGAACATGGCCGAATCTGTAGTTTTTTATATTGTGATTTGCGACTATCTATAGTTCATTATTTGGTTGGTACCTGCAATATTTTAGGAGAATGTGGAAAATAAGAACGCTTGTGGCAAATGTGATTGCTGCTCACTGTGCAATCTTCAGAAACACATTTCATTAATTCAAGTTCTTTTTGTCCTTGCTTTTTTGATGAATGTGTTAATGCTTTTTGTAGGCAATACCTTTTTGATTACAGGTGATATTTTAACAGCTGTAGACTGGAATGGAGTTTCAAAATTGTGGTATTTGTGGGGCGAACTCAGGCAACATCAGGCTGCTGGTAGTTTTGGTTGGACAATGGGTGGCTGCTGGGTGGGGCGGCTACTGAAATTGCCAAAATGTTGCATCTCATGTAGGGGTAAGCCAGAATAAAAAATGCAGGTTTTTTGGTATGCCGGTAATTTGGCGGTTTTTTTGCTTGGGGCGTGGTAGCATGCCGGTATCCCAGAAAATTTTTGTGGGGCGGGGCGGTGCCGGTAGCAGCCCATTGGGAAAACTTTGCAACTCTAATCCTGACTCAAATGACCTTTGGCCTGTTACCTATTTCTCGAGACCATGTTTGGCGGCCGGAATCGCGATTCGGCGTATATCGGCTTGCATAAGCCGCGCGTTTGCAATTTGTTTGTGATTTCAAACGTTCATACATGTGATATGATGTTGGCCCCATGCATTCTGGTGGGTGTCAAGGTCACCTGAAGGTCAAGTCAGGTCATTAACCTTTGATGAGATCGGTTCACTTTTTCGAGTTCTGCATGTTTCTAGGCTAGTTTTTGAGCTGATTTCGAATTTAACAACCATTTGAACATTTACGAAGTAGTTTCCGTGCCTTCGTAACATGTCACGAAGCTGTCAGTGCAGTGGCTGTCAGTGCAGTGGCGGTTGACACCTGCAATGAATACCCGGCAGGACGCCTACTGGTTGACCTGACCTGACCTGACCCGACCTGGCCTAAATGCATGAAGACATCATTTGTGATCAAAACTAACACGAATTCGTGATCAGCACCCCGAAAAAAAACTTTTTGCAGCGTCACTTTACGAAGTTCTTAATGGTTCCAATTTTCCCGACTTTTGGGTCATTGGTTTTTGGGTCACGGGTGAGGGTTAAGTCTCTGTGCGGTCAATTTGGTATCGGCAAAGGTAGGTAGGTACAGTGGGTCTAGTAAAGATCTCCAGCTATGACTAGATGGCGTTGAGCCTTAGTCGACTCCATGTAAAATTCAGGGAGAGGTCACTACCCAACTGGGGCCGGGGGAGGTGGGCGGGGGTGGGGGTGGCGAGGTCACGGTGCGAGTGACCTGTCAAACAGCCCCGGCGCGGTGGGGCGCTGCCACAGGCAAATGGCGCACTCCAGCCGTCCTGTTGTTCCATATCGCGGTGGTGGGCCCGGTGGCCGGTTAGCCTGGGTGCTTTGAAGGAAAGGATAATGGGGCATGGGTTTCTGTGGCGGTTCATTTTAATATTGTCACCTATGATGCACTCGTCTCGACCAATAATCGGTTTGTGCTGACCTTTGGTGACCTGACCTGTGACCTGACCTGGTATTATCAGTGACTTCTAATAACATCATATGTACTAGGCAATTGACGCCCTATCGCAGATTTTCGACAAAATACGTTTTACTCGGTGTTATAGTGCATTCCCTGGAGGACCCGTGAACGGTGAAACATTTTATCTTTGACCTGACCTGTGACGTCATCGGTGACCTCGAGGTCAATGAAATTTGATTTTCTTAGACAAAGTTGACAGGGCTATCGAATGCCGTTTGAATTTTACGGATCCGTCCAGTAGTTACGGAGATGCGGGGGCAAAACAATGCCCCCCCCCCCCACCGCGGGGATGGTGGCGGGGAGGCCCACCGCCTGCCGGGTAATGGGCCCACTATGTATTTCAGACCCCATGAGACCCTGCTTTTCGGCGATAATTTCTTCAGTTTTTGTCTAATTGGCTTGAAATTTTGACAATAGACATTTCAGCTCAAGCGCCGATTTTCATCAATATGGTCTCTTAACAAAATGTCAATATTTAGAGCACTTGTCATTGGCTCATAATGCTAATTAGATTTTGCACCCGGATAGAGGCTCGTTCGCTACCGCAGCGGATTGGATGGGAGCGCTGGCCAATCACGTTGCGCCGGGCCCAACTAAACTCCGCCCACTGGCCGTGACCGCGCTGGGTCTATGCCGGCTCAGTCGGCGGCAGCACCGCGGAGAGGTCGCACGGGGGCCGCGCACTGGAAACATACATGGAATCGATAGGAAGTGTCTGAGCGAAAGCTTGCTCTTCATTTGGGGGAGTTGGTAACCGCTTCTCTCTTTTTGGTATATCAACACCCATCCAGCTCACAGGCGCGGATCCAGGGGGGGGGGGGCGACGGGGGCGGCCGCCCCCCCCCCATCCGAAAAAGGCGCCCATATCCCGCGGCAGAGAGGGCGCCCCGAGCAGAAGACGGGCGGCACAGCAAAGATTCAGCAGAAATAGGGCGCCTCCAGCAGAAGTTGGGCTCACCAAGCAGGAGAGCGACGCCCAACTGCCCATTCCTAGCAGATGAGAGTCGTCCCAGCAGCAGATGGGCGCCTTCAGCAAGAGGGGGGTCTCATTACAAGAATAAAAATACCTTCTGTGCCAGAGGGGCGCCCCTGGCAGCGGAAGGGCACCCCTAGCAGGAGAGGTGTCCCTCTGAAGAGGAGCGTCGCCCCAGCAAAAGGAGAGAGGCGCCCCATTCCGAGAGGAAGAGGGGCGGCCTGACAGCAGATGGGCGCCCCAGCAAAAAAGAGGAGCTCCATAAGAAGAAAATGGGTGCCACTGGCAGAGGAGGGGCGCCCCCGGCAGCAGAAGGGGTCCAGCAGAAAAAAGGGCCTCCAGCGGGAGAGGGGCGCCCCCAGCAAAGTCGAGGGGCGCCCCAGCAGAAGAGAGGGGCCTCCAGCAGGAGAGGGGAGCTCCCAGCAGAAGAGGGGCGCCCAGCAGAAGAGAGGCACCACAGCCAATGTTAATCAGAAATAGGGAGCTCCCAGCAGAGGTTGGGCTCGCCAAGCAGGATAGGGGCGCCCCATTGACAATATTCGGCAGAAGATAGTTGCCCCGGCAGCAGATGGGCGCCCCAGCAGACACCAGTCGTCGGGTGCCCCCAGTAGAAGAGGGGCGCCCCATTACAAGAAGAAAATGAGTATATTCTACACAAGAGGGGCGCCCCTGACAGCGGAAGGACAACCCCAGCAGAGGGGCGGTGCCCCAGTAAAAGGAGAGGGGTGCCCGCTACGAGAAGAGGGTCGCCCCAACAACAACAACAACAAAAAAGGAGCCCCATAAGAAGAAAAGGGGTGCCTCTGGCAGAAGAAAGACGTCCCCCGTAGTGGAAGGCGGTGGAAGAGCGCCCCCTAGAAGAGTGGCGTCCGTCCAGCAAAAGAGAAGTGCCCCCTGCAGG